GTCTTAGCTATGTGTTACTGGGTTATATGCAATGACATATCTCAAAATCGACCTAATTCATCATCTAATAAAGTGGGAAGTCAAGCATCTACCGATACCCAATTAAAACATGGAAGGATTTGCAGAGATCTAAAGATCAAATCAAGTGGAGAAATCGTGGGAGAAAATCGGGCTCTTAAAACACAAAACCGGTTCAATCAACTTCACAATTCGGCTCTCAATATTCTGACATAGTCTCTTCTTATAAAAGCAACAATTCAAGAGATTAAGAAGCAAAGTGTAAGTGACTGATATGATAAAAAAATCTCAGATACATATCAGCAATAAAAAATTCCAAAATCCAAGGAAGAAAGCTCATGGAAAACTATACTAAAATGCATCTTTGAAGCCTTTAACTATATGGATCTAGTGAGATCAAAGATCATTCAAAGGATCAAAGATCTAATGATCAAAGTAATGTTGTAATTAAAAATTTATTGCAAGGAGAAACGAAGGAAATAAATAGAAATAGAAATGATCTAACTCAATTGTTGAGGGCTTGAAGACTAGATCATCCATGGCTTGAATTTGAGCTTTGGATCACCATTATGGAGTAATATAAGACCTTCAATGGAGCTATTCTCTCGCCTTAACATGAAGGAGGATCTTAGAGAGAAGGGAAGAAGAAGACTAGCTTGGGCATGCCATTCAATGGAAGAAGAGAGAGAGAGAGAGAGAGGGGCGTGCCACTTTTTGGAGGGAATTTGTGAAGTGAATTCATGTGTGAGAAAATGTAGGCTTGTGAGGTATTTATATGCTTCTAACTCTCAAGTGTGGAGATGCTTCGAGATGAATGAATCTTGGCTCTTCATGTCATCAACCAATGGCTACAAAGAGAGACATGATCCTAGCCCACCATCCATCATCATGCCATCAAGATGTGTGGTATGAATTTAAACGCCTTTATCTTCTTTTAATTCACGTAAATTTCCTTTGTTATCAAAACGCCCATGCTCTTTACATTTAATAAAACTAAAACCAAGATGGAGGGTATACCCTTATGGTCATTTATTAAAAATTCCAGCAAAAAGAAAATCTTAAAAGTTCCTTCCATTTCATAAGAGCATGTGGAGCTAATGAAAGCATGCCACATAAGCTTAGGTGGTTAATTGCACATTTATCATATACCCTTAGAGTTTGGCTTGTAATTACAAATTGTATACCCCTTCTAGAATCCTCCACACATGTGCACAAAGCCCCCTTGCTCAAAGAATCCATAAAACTTCCCATAAACCCATAAAAATCATTTTAATGATTTTCCATCAAATTAAATCATTTTGGCATTGATTAAAAATATTTACAAGGAAAATTAGGATCCTTGGAGTTGAATTACGAAACGGAGCATTTCACTTGGCTAGATTTGGAATCCAAAGCCTTCTCGGTATGACTCAACAAACTCATGACCCACAGTATATAATCAGAGGCTCATGATTTGAGCCTATCAAAGTCAAACCGATGTGCGAATCTGAATCCTCAAGTATAAGTGGATTTCAGGTGCACCCCCTAGAGGACATGCACACACATGTGCGGGGGTTCCTCTCTTGGCACATGTGCATAACTCTAACAAGTGGATCCCTAGAAGAGTGGCTTCCCATGCACTGCGAATGTATATGCATATGTTATGAAAAGGTTTTAGGAATCAGGGGTTTTGGCCAATGTCCTCTATTGGTCGTAACCTTCCCATACAAGGCTGTTAGTCATCAAGTTCATACATAAATAGTATTTCCTTGGCCCATCACTCAGTCATGAGGCACAAATATAGTAACTGACTCTGACTAAGACGTAACGATCAACCCTCTTGGTACCTCCCACATATAAATCCTCCTTATGACTTAATCGGGGTTCCATGACTCTTGGTCCCAGTGTGTCAAGATCCCAGAGTCATGTCACTCTTTTACTCCCACTGAAGTTACGAGCGATTGAAAATGTCGAATTTAAGGCTTTGAAATGACATAATTCCGACAAGAAGATGGGTACAACCCAAAGTTCTAAACAATTATACCCCAGTGCTAACCTGGAATCAGGAACTGTTCCTAACTTCGGTAATTCTTTCAGCTTCTATGAGAATCCTAATGTTGGACTTACCCATTATTGTATGCATGGATAAGCATTATTTTGTTCAACATCCTGTAGGGAGGTTTGTATCTTATAAATCTGTGTCTTCTTATCGTGGCTTCATAATTGCCCCATCTTCAGTTCGAATACCTTCCTGAGTTGCACATGGACTTTCACAACCTCAATGAAAGGTTGTCTTGGGTGATGAGATGTAAGCCCTTGGGCAAAATAATACATGGGAAATCACCAATCTTCCTAAAACAAAGAAGGTCGTAGGATGTTGGTGGTATAAACTGTTATAAACTGTGAAGTGCAAGGCTGATGGCACATTGAAAGTCATAAGGTCAGATTGGCTGCAAAGCGCTTCAATCAGACTCTTGACATAGACTACCAAGACACATTGAGGATCTGTCTTTCTCGAGCTGCTAATAAATCTTTGCCTCTCCACTAGCTAGATGTGAAGAGTGCATTCTTGCATGGAGATATCCAAGAAAAGATCTATATGTCCATGCCTCCAGGTATTCAGATTTATTCGGAGACAGGAAAGGTGTGCAAGTTAAAGAAGGAGATTTATGAACTTAAACAGTCTCCTAAAGTGTGGTTTGGAAAATTCACTAAGGCATTGCTGAAATATGGGTTTAGAAGTCAGGTTGATCATATGCTCTTTGTAAAGAAGAATAGTATTGAGATTTTAGCCCTTATAGTGAATGTCGATGATATTATTGTGACAGGGGACAATGTGAAGGATATTGAAGATTTTAAATCATATCTAAGCAAGGTGTTCAATATCAAAGATTTAGGACCCCTTAAGTAGTTTTTGGGAATTGAAGTGGCAACATCAAAGAAAGGGATAACCATCTCCCAAATAAATTATTAACTGAACCTATTACAACAAACTGTAATGTTCAGAGCTAGACAAGCCGATATTCTTATAGAAATCAATCCTAAACGTTATGGAGTAGGGGGAGAGTTGCTGGAAAGTTCCAAATACTGGGCAAGCTCATATTCCCCACAATCGCATGACCGGACATCTCTTATGCGGTTAGTGTGGTCAGCCAATTTATCCAGGCACCACGTAAACCACATCTTGATACAATGTATCGGATATGGAGATATCTCTGGTCTGCTCTAGGAAGAGAGTTATTTTTCTCTAATCAAGGGCATTGTTATGTTGCTATTTACATTGATGCTGATTGGGCTAGATGCCCAACTAATAGGAGATCCATAACTGGCTATTGCACCTTTGTTTTAGGAAATCTGGTTTACTGGAAAAGCAAGTAACAAAATGTGGTGGCAAGATCAAGTGCTGAAGTGGCATATAGGGCTATGGCTCATAATACATTTGAAGTACTGCGGGTCCAAAATGTTTCATCTGATTTGGGAGGTTAAAGTTAAGCGTCCTTGACTTTGTAATGTGACAATGAAAGACTAAACACATTAAAGTAGATTGTCACCGCATTAGAGAGAAGGTTGTTGCGTAGATCATTCATACTCCTCATGTGAAGCTTAAAGATCAACTTGCAGGTATCTTCACTAAAGCTGTTGGATGGGATAGACTGCAAGATATCACAAGCAAGTCGGGCATGATTGATAGCTATGCACTAACTTGAGGGGGAGGGAGCGTTGGAAATAATTAATTATTGCTATATTTGATGGGTATAAATGTCTTTATTTTTGCTTAGGTCATATATGTCCTATTTCATTGTGCATGGGTAGTACTGTAATTGGTTCACTTTGTTGACATAAAAGGAGGTACCTGTTGGTCATTCTAGGCCATCACCTCTCTCTCTCTCTCTCCCTTCCTCACGCTCTTTTTGCCTCTCAATCTCCCTCTCTCCTCCTTTTTCTTCCTTCTTTTTCTCTCTCTTACTACTCTCTAGTCGCTTACCTTTGTTTTTTCTCCTTTTCTCTTCTTTAGTTTTCCCTAACATTATTTTCAACTATTTTAACTCACTTTTTAAATCCCAGATTGCCTGGGTGAGCTGGCCATCCCAAAATTTGGCCAAGATTGGCCAAGCACTGATCTGGGTTGGTGAATTGGAGTGATTCTCTTGTGTGAGAATTCGTCCTAATTTTTTAAAAAAATAAAATAAAAAAGGAATATATGTCTTTAAGATAATGTAATGTGTGGGAACCGGTCAATCTGGCTGGTCCAAATAGCCTAGTTCCCTGACAAATTCGCCTAGTTCCTTGATCGACCTAGGTGATTCCATGGAAACAAGACTTGTTCCATGGGAACCGGACCAATTCCAAGTTCTAACAAGGAACCGGGTTGATCACGAGTGATTCCTTCCCAAATCAGATTGGTTTTTTAAACACTAGTTTAGATCATTTTAGACAAAATAATGCTTATATTCTTTGGACCTCGTAATTCTAGAGGTTTAAAAATTAAAACTTGGAATATATTCATGTGAAGGAACGTGGAAGTCATCTATCTACTCATTTATATTAAACCTTATGAATTATTGTTGTTATTGTATGTTTGGAATATATTCATTTTAATGTTTTGTGCAAACAACCATAAAATAATTCTTGCCGAGCTCTCATTGGAATTGTTTGGAATTCTCTATTGGCCATTAGTTTTAACATGGATCATTGAATTGTTAATGAAGATAAATGCTGCTGACAAATTTAGCTTCTTAATCTGGAGAATTTAACAATACAATTCTGTGTATTGCACTTGGTTAAATTGCAGTTATACTTGTTTTTGTGTCTTGTACACTTTATCAGTAAGGTGTTTTTGGCTTAAATGATTACTTTCACTGCATCTGAAATAAGTAATACGAAGACAAATGGTTATGCTCCTTTTTGATAACCATCTTGGTCTAGCTGGTTAGTACTTTATGAAAGTGTAGATCAATTCCCTTAACAAGTGACGATTGACCCTGATCTTCTTTTCTTTGCAGAATATGATCAGGAAAGAGGATCTGATGCTACTAGAGGATGGGCTACATTTGGAGTACTCTCTTGTGTGTAAGTTGATAAAAGATCCTAGTTAGACAAGCTGTAAATTAGGTTATTTATTTTTTATTCTCTTCAACAAGTATTGACTTTAAAATTCTCTAGCAATACTCCAATATCAAATACAGGTGGAAAACAGAATCATATATAGCAAGTATATTGTCTACCAACATCTCTCTTTCCTTGATATAGTAAGTAGCTCTTGTTGGAATATCAGTCCCTCAAGCAGATCAGGGGAAAAAAAGAAAAAAGAACTACACAAATATATATCCTAGTTAATCTGAGTTCTGCCCATTATGTTTGTAATAGGATTAGGATTAGGTGCTCTGTTTAGGTCAATGTGTAATCTTTTACACGTGGAATCAGGGATTTAAAAACCGGCCCTAGAATCGCCCGGGTCGACACAGGAATCAGCCACCCCGTGCCGATTCTCATGAAATACAGGAATCAGGCGGTTTTAGAGTGAAAACGACGTTTTTTACCGAAAAAACGGCAACTCGCTACAGTAAAACGGTGAGTCGCTACAATAAACATTGTTCTTCCCTTTTTCAGCAAAAAAACTGCTGGAAGCATCAAAATTCATCAAAATTTATCGTTTCTTGATGAACAATGGAGGGGAATCATATTTTAGGTCCGTAAAACATTGATTGGGTTTGGATTGAGCCTAAAAAAATACCGGATTGTGAATTTGTTGATTGAAATTTGGGTTTTTTTTGAGCGGATTAGGGTTTTTTGCCAATTCGATATTTTGGTGGCCATTTTTTCATTGATTTAATCCGTTCTTTTTTCTTAATGATCATGGTAATACATGCTTTCATCAAAATCAGGTACTATGATTTGTTGTTTTGTATTTTAGTTTTACGAATTTTTTTTTGGGGCGAGATTCATGATTTTGAAAACCAAACCGTAAATCATGGGGTCATTCTCCATCGATTTGATCCATTTTTTTTTTTTTGTTCTAATGATCATGTTAAGATTAGATTCCACTAGAACCAGGTAACACAATTTGTGGTTTTGTATTTTCTTTTTGTACGAATTTTGTTTTTGGGGTCTCTGCATGTGAACACTTATAAGGTTGATTGTTGGATTATTTTTTTATTTATTTTATGAATTTCCTTTATAGATTGTCTGATTGTATGAAATCTGATTTTTCTTGTTTGAATCATTGTTGGGTTTTCATTTTTATTCTTGTTTTTCATTTTCATATTCTCTTGATGTTTATTGGGGGAACATTTCTTTTTTTATTTTTTTTATTTTTTTTCTGATATAGAGTTGTAGTCATTGTGAGCTATTATTTTTACGGGGTTTTCTGCCCAATTTCCGATTTTTTATTTGCGGATTTGTTATGAGCTTCTTTGGGTTATGGAGATTTCAGGTATCAATTTCTAACTCTAAAAGTGTACTGTAATGTTGCTTGTCTTTTAAAGTTCTAAATAAGCAAAACTATTCTTTCAAAATGGGTTGCATTCTCTATTTCCCTTTTCTTTCCTTTTGTTTTTCTGTTTGGGGTTCTTGGACTGGCTTTGATCATGTGGCGTTGCTTTCAGAATGAAGTTGCAATGTTTATTTTGTTAGTAGCTTTTGTGGTATCCTTTGGATTCCCAATTAACTTTCCTATGTGGATTGGGCAACACTTTCATGTTCAGAATAAAGAAGGGGCCTACATTTTCTATCACTACAATATTTCATTTTTGGCTGACATTGCAAGTATTTATTTTCTCTAAATACAGCTTGTTGTCCAATATTGTTCTTATGGCTTCCTCACAATTGTTTCTCTTTGAAGGATGTTTGCACCTCTTCTTATTTTATCTTTAAAATTGTTGCATGCTGCTTATATTATTGAATATCACGAGCGCAGTCTATATCCTAATCCGTCCCAGCAAGAAAACAACGTATTATTGAATATCACGATACCTTTTATAAATCAAATTATCTTCATCTTTCTCTGATGTTCTTGTAGTAGCATTGGGTATCAGTATTATATCCATTTGAACATGTTTCTGATGACCCAGAAGTTTTGGGGGCTGCAAGTATCTCATTGACAATTGAACATCTTTCCGTTTTCCAAAAAAATGAAAATATGAGATAAGTTTTTCTTTTAATACGAAGTCACGTAATATCCTCTCTAGGATCAACTGTGTATCCAACAATAAGAGGCTAGGGGCGAGCATGACAGTGTAGGTGAGCATGAAAGATGGACAAGTTTCGGGGATTTTGGACTAGGAGCGCAACAAAAAACACTAATACTCAGAGATACTCAGGCGCCCACTAATTTGGATGATTTGTTCCTAGATCAAGTCAATGAATTGTCATGCGAATTCAATGAATGGGAACAACATGACCAAAATAAAAAAGAACATCGCCTTTCATTTTGGTTTTAGGTCATATTTTACAAATTGTATGCTTTATTTTAGTCCATGTATGATTATATACTTCATCCATGATAATTTTATGATTATTCTTTTGTGTGATATAAATTTAATGGGTAGCATAAGTTCATATAGGGAAAGAACATCTCAATATTCGTATATTGATTCACAAAAATGAAAGTTAATAATGTAGTACCCCATTTCTTATTGGATTCCTAAAAACCAACATTTATAATGATTTTTAATAATTTTTTTGGATTTTTTTATTGCCGAATTTGACCGTTTCGGCTGATTCCCCTCCGATCTGCCGATTCACCGATCCGGATGGGTTTTTGGGGTGCTTGGTCCGCGGCACTGATCCGTTTTTTAAACCACTGCATGGAACATATTTTTATATATTATGTTATGAATTCCTTTTTTCTCTTGGGTAAGTTGGTTGAGTTCAAACTCATTTCGGTCTGAAACCGAAAAAAGGGTAGCTTAGAATTATGGGACAAACTCCAGAGGCTCGAATCATTGACATCTTTTGAGCAATCTGGATGTCTACCTACCACCAGGCTGCAGCCTAAGGCACAGAAATGAAAAAGGTTGGGTCAGCTTGGTTTGATTTTTGAGACAAATTTTAAGTGTTCTAAAGTCTCGACTTCCCTCGCACAAACATGATTCTTTCCTTCGAAAAGAAGTCCAATTGACAATAATTTTCTTTTTCTGCTTTTTGTGGAAAAGATATTATCTACCTGGTTAGCAGTATTTCATTCTGTAGCCTTATAACTGTGGTACTTACCCAAGGCTTTATTGTACTGGGTTTTGTATAAGTCCCGTTTATGTAAAATTTTAATAGTTGTTTATGTGAACTTCATTCATGCAGGTTCATTGTGCTAGCATCAATCTTCTGCTGTGCTGGTTTCGTTTACAAAATTCGAGTTGAGCACCAGGTGAGTTTGCCTGTGTTTGTGCATATGCACAATGATATCAGGCTGGTGAAAAGAATGATAATTGTTTTGACAATTAAAATAATGATATGGCTATGATGAAAAATTTCCCTTGCAACTTTTGTAGCGAGGATTAGATGCCTTGCCTGGCATCACAGTGCTATCTGCCTGCCTGGAAGCTGTAAGTGCATCAAAACCACCATCCATTATCAATATACACCCCCCCACTCCCCCCACCCCTCTCTCTCTCTCTTGACATATATATGTATAAATACTTGCCATGGTAAAGGGATATAGTGTTAGACTGACTTGTTGACATTAAAATAGGTGACTGGATCAGAGTTAGGCTACTCACGGGCTGATACTCTCAATGGTAGCTTTGTCAATTCCACATCATGGGATAGCTTGCCTGTTACTGAACAAGCAACTCAAAGAACAGGAGAGAGAAAATATGGATCCATGTGAAGCAGAAGCTCTAGGTGTTTTGAGGGTTATGGATTTCTGTCTTTTTGAGGGAGAAAAGAGTGGGCAACTGATTGAATATGCTGTTGCCTGAAGAATGGGGAATTTCGTGCTTCCTAAATTCTTGGTTGAGAGGGTCTATTGAAGATCGCAGGGCGCTGTGGACGACTCTCCACAATGACTTACATGTTACCTAATATTGATAAATGAAAAGTAATTGTGACTTCATTGTATGTTTAAGTTACAGTTACTAATGCTTACCATTGACTATGTTAACGAGTGGGAGGTGACTTGAAGTTTTCAACTTTGGATACGATGGATTTTTCTCTCAAGTTTATTACCCAAAGAAATGTCATCCAGTGGAAACTGCATCATCATTCTTTTGCATTGATTTAGTTTAACAATAATTTCCTTTGGTGGCTGAATGCATTTGCACACGCATCATGAGAATCCTTCAAGACTTTAATTGTTAAAAGTTACTGTTTTTTACTATTTCTAGATGTAATGCTAGGTGATGACATAAATAAAACCAGTAGAATTTATTGTTCTTTGATGAATACTATCATTTTGGCGAGCTAGAATATTATTTTGGACATAGCTGTGTCGAATGAAAACATGGTATCAGCCTTTCTCACTGCAAATGACTGTCAGGGATCGCTTCCAAATTTTCACATGCAATCTTTGGACCTGCATATATATCTCTGGAGCTTTGAAACCTTGACACCTCACTCCTATTCTTTTTTATTCAGATGTTTTATATTCTATTTTCTGTTATAGAGTTGTAGTTACTCCGGGCGAAAAAACAATGGCTTCCCATGCTGACGAATGGTTACAATGGGCAAAATTTTCGAAAGACTATCATAGATCTCAAGACATTTCACATAAGCACTCTACAATGATGCGTCATGCGTAAATATACAGACCACAAGTTTCACACAAAGGAAGTACATGGTCAAAACCAAATGAGAGAGAGAGAGAGAGAGAGAGAGAGAGAGAGAGAGAGAGAGAGAGAGAGAGAGAGAGAGAGAGAGAGACGTAGTACGTACGTAGTACGTACGTACGTACGTACGTACGTTACGTTACGTTACGTACGTACGTACGTACGTACGTACGTACGTACGTACGTACGTACGTACGTACGTACGTACGTACGTAGTACGTAGTACGTAGTAGTACGTACGTACGTACGTACGTACTACGTACGTACGTACGTACTACGTACGTACTACG